GTGGGAGGGTGAGTCAGGATGGGGAGCTGCCAGCCCAGGGGCCGCCTGCCTTGCGCCGGGCATCAGGGCGCTCTGGGCAGAGAGGCTGGTCTACCAGCCAGCAGAGAGGAGAGCTTATCATTTGTTGTTGTTGTCTTCCAGTTCAAGGTGAAATTCATACAGTGAATTTCAAATTAACCCTTCGGAAGTATGTGATTCAGTAGTATTTAGTGCCTTCGTAGGGGGCCATCACTAGCACTCTGCTTGCAAAATTAAAGTTTTAAGGCAGGACAGAGGGAATTTGGGTAGAGGAAGTGGTCCCTTCCACACCCCGACTTTGAGCAGGTGCTCTGCTTCTCCGAGCCCCAGGGTTTGTACCGAAAAATCACGAGAATGACAGTAAAAATGGCAGCTGACGTCCCGTGGCACTTCACGAAAGCGTTTTGCACGTTATGTTTTACCATGTGACCACTTCACACAGCCTGGGGACACTAAGAAACTTGCCCAAAGTCAAGTGGGCCTTGGAGCCAGGGTCTTGTCTCTTTGTCGTCCCTGGGGACCCTTCTGTTACCTCCCTTCCTGTGGTGGAGGACGGGCTTGTCAGAGGTCTCGTTCCTGGCCCCAGTCTAGTTTCCAGCAAGGAGAGGCCCTCACAGACTGAATCTAAATTAAGTATAAACTAATTTAAAATTAAAACACGGTAAAAAAAATTTTTTTTTAATGTTCTTATTTATTTTTGAGACAGAGAGACAGAGCACGAGCGGGGGGAGGGGCAGAGAGAGAGGGAGACACAGAATCGGAAGCAGGCTCCAGGCTCCGAGTGGGCAGCCCAGAGCCCGACGCGGGGCTCGAACTCACAGACCGCGAGATCATGATCTGAGCTGAAATCAAGAGTTGGACGCTGAACTAAGCCACCCAGGTGCCCCTAGACTCATGAAGATTTCAGAAAGTTAAAGATGTGTTAACTCACCGGCCACATTTACGTGCTCAGTAGCCACAAGTGGCTGCTGTAGGTAGCCTCAGCACAGATACAGAGCATGTGTCCAACGCTGTTGGTTACGGGGCCGTAAGTGTCATTTATTCACCTGGCCTGCTCGGAACGGCAAACGGGGCAGCGGGAACATTCTCCTATGGGTGACTGCCCCGCAGGGCTGCAGAGCCGATTGCTGGGCTCTGGGGTCAGCCCCAGCTCCGCGCCCTGCCCAGCGCCCTGTGACTTACGATCGTTGCTTGTCCTCATGCCGGCGAGAAGAGTCCACAAATGACCACGTGTGAACCTGAAGTGGTTTCAGCATGAGTGGTGCCAGGTGGCCCAGCCTGTTTGTTTAGCGTTCGCCGTTATTATTCTGGATGACGGTAATTTGTTGTGGTTACACGTGTGTTTTAGGTCATTGGTGTTGGCTTCCAAGGCGGCCAGTGAGCAGGCGGCACCTCTTGCCACCAGGGGGCAGCCTGGGGCCAGGGTGGGGCCCGGGCCTCGAGCTCAGCCTGCGGTGGGTGGCAGGGAGAGCCCCTCCCACCTCGGGCCCTGCGGGAGGATTTCCAGCAAAGTCTAGGGAGAGACCATTGGGCTCTGGCCTGACTGTCGCTGTCCCCCCGGAGACCTGAGACCCACATCGGGGGAGCTAGGAGGCCGTCACCGGGTCCCCAGGGGTGGGTGCGAGGAGCAGGGGTGTGTACCTAGACTTTGAGAGGAGCACCAGGGATGCCGGGGCACGGGCCGGGGCCTCGGACGGCAGCCTGGAGGCTCTGGCGATGCGGGGCGGGGGTCAGCTGCCTGTCCTCCACGCCAGGGAGACCCGGCAGGATGGCCTGGGATGGCGCCTGGTGGGTGTCTTCAGGGGTCAGGGGCCACCCCTGCCCTTAGTATCTGCGCTGCCGAAGGGAGCACTACCCTGTCTCCTAATCCTGACGCGGGTCTGTCCGCTTTTGCCATCGGAGGATTAGAAACGGCCCTCGCGTAGTCAGTCCACGAGTTGACGCCTGCTGTGTGCCGGGTCCCGGGTGGCAGGAAGTGAGGCTGGCGGTTCTCGTCTGCAGGGAGGGGACCCGCTTGTGGGGAGGGATCCGCATTACCAAGTGTGTTTGGCAGGGGCTTGGATGCAGTGGCCAGAGGGGCTTCGGTGAGGCGCCGGGAAGGCCCCACCTAAGGGGGAAACGGGCTGGGTCTGGGGGGGTCGACAAGGACACCTGGGGGCTGGTGCCCGAGCGGCTGGGTGGAACGGAGGCAGCCACCGGCATTCGGAAGCGTGTTTGGTTTGCATCCGAGATCCATCGCTCAGCGGCTTCAGGAGAATAGTTCGGGGAGAGCACGGGGGGGCAGGGTATATGTGCAAATGAACGCCCCTGTCGTGTGTAACCGTCCTTGTGACTGGCGGTGGGGTGGCGACGGTGTGCCCGTTCCACGGAGTCGCACACCTCTGGTCTGGGAGGGGCACACGTTGGCCCGCGTGGTCTTGCCAGGGCACCAGAATTCCCGCCGGACCCGGGGAAGGGAGTTTGGGCGCCGTTGAGCCCCTGTGGCGGGCGGGAGCCGTTGGTGGCATCCGGGCACCAACGCCCCACCGGGCCTTGGGTGCTGCTGGGCGGGTTTCACAAGCCTGGGCAGGGGCAGGCCTGGGCCACCGGGCTTCCGCGCGGCCCGAGGCAGGAAGAGCTGGTGGCTGATGTAAGCCCTTGCGCAAACCTCTGGCTGCTGGCTTCCGGAGCCTTCTACCCGCCTGCCTGCCAAGGAGGAAGCCTGGGGCCTGGCGGGGCCCAGAGGCCCTGCTGCCCGGGCTCGGGCCACATGGGTGTCCTGACCGGCCGCCATGGCCCTGGGTCCCGAAGGCTTGGCGCTGGAGTCTGGTGAGGGGGCTGGGTGAGGCCGGGCTGGAGGACGGGGACTCCGCAGACACGGGGTCTGGTGATGGCACATGTGGCCAGAAGGTGTCCTCCTGCCGTTTCCCTGCATGTACCCCCAAAGGGACCGGGTGGACTTTGTGGCATCCTGTGCCCCCGGGAGGTAGTAAGCGAGCACCTGTCGTATACAGACTGCATACGGCGCTGCTGGGGACCCTGAGGTGGGACGGGGCTCTGGGAGCCCCCCTCCCCCCCCGTGGGCTGGGGCCGCCGATGGTGTCTCGTCTGGGTCATTGCAGACAGTGCCCGCCTCACAGGGACGTGGGGAGGTTACCCGAGGGGGCACACGGGCAGCCCTTAGCTCGGGCTGGCCAGAGCTGGCTCCTGCTGGCTGCTTGGCCGTCCCCGCCGTGCTCGGTTCTGTGTGCAGGCCTCCGCCCCTCCTCCAGGGGGCGTTGGCGGGAGGATTCAGTCCCCAGACTGGTGCTCGTCAGTGACTGGGCGAGTTTGTTGTTACTATTCTCCTGCGGTGTGTGCTTTCCTCTTCACTGTGGTTCTTAAGGGAGGCGTTAGTATTCCCATTTTGCTGATGAGCGACCTGAGGCCAGGGAAGGGCAGCCCCCCCC